TCTGATGTCATTGCCCTTGGGTGCAGGTTGGTCACTAAGATTTTAAAATTGACCCCAGGGAATCCTAAACCACAGCTGAGATTAAAATCTGCTGTCTGCATGCTCCCCTTTTCTGCCTTCTTAGGCTTCAGCAGGTAACCTCACCCTTGCTTGCATTTCCAATTGTTTCCACTTTGTTGGGTCCTTTCTAAGTCATACACAGTGCCCTAAACTATCCTATCTAAAAATAAAAATAAAAACCGCTTCCTGGATTTAGTATCCCCAGCAACTATCTGCTCTCTTTATTCACTTTCTAAGCCAAACAAAATTCAATAATAAGCTGTCCATAGAGACTGTTTCTGCTTCCTCATCAACCATTCACTCAGAAATCTACTCCAGATTGGATTCTGCTCCAGAGTTGATCACCCTGTCATTCAAAAACACTCAACATCCTTTGGCCTCTAAGATCCTGTGCTCTCCTATTTCTTTCTCAGGCTACCGTTCTACCTGACTTCTTAATGTTGGCAGTTCCTCAGGATGCAGGGCTTGGCCACTGTGGGGAAAATGGAAGTTCCTATGGCCAGGATCCTCACCTGACCTTAAACTACTTGATGCTGTAATTGGCCTACTGCTAGGCTAACGCTTCCACGCCCATAGGCAATAAGCTGTTATCGACTAAGTCATGGTATAAAGAGCTCTGCCCAGTGCTCTGGGTGGAGGCAGAGGTGGAGATGGATTATGGACCTGCAGACTGTTGGATGCAGACATGATTCTAGTGCTCTACCTATCCCCGGGGAGAATAAAGCTGGGTATAAACCCTTTTACCCCAAGAGCATCCACTGTCATTCCTCTGTCTCACTGAATCCATAGAGAACTTGCCTGGGGCTGAAACCCTCAGGCAACACAGTCATCTTTTGTACTGACCACTTTTCATGCTTTCCAGTCCCTGGAACCTCAGGGTTATTACACCTGCGCAGACCATTCCATCAGTCTCATACCTGTGTAGCCAAATCCTGATTTGGCCTGTCTCTCCATTGGCTGTGAAAAAAGCATCTCAGATTTCAGGATCCAAATTGAATCTTGATGCCCTCTCTGCCTTATGCTTAGCATGCTCCTGTTACAGTGGTTCCCATTTTGTAGTTCCTGAAGCTTCAGTAACAAATAACTATTAATGGGTTGGCTTGAAACAGTATACATTTATACTCTTACAATCCTGGTGGCCAGAAATCTATAATCATTTCCTCTGACCTGAAATTAAACTGTCAGCAAGACCACACTCCCTCTGTAGACTTTAGGGGTACCTCTGTTCCTTGATTCTTCCAGTTTCTGGTGGTTTCCAGCATTTCTTGGTGTATTAGAGTTTTCCAGAGAATCAGAACCAATTGTGTGTGTGTATGTATGGGTGTAGGGACAATAGAAATTACCATGGCCAGGATCCTTGCCCGACCCTAATCTGTTCACCTACTGAGCACATGCAATGCTTGCAGGGGCATGCTTGCACATGTCTGGGCAATGAACTATTATTGACTCTGTATAAAGAACTCTGCCCAGTGCTCTGGGGATGTGGCAGTGGAGAGGCCCAGAGGCAGAGATGACCTTCTGCATGCAGACTTGCCTGAGATGAACTTGATTCTAGAACTAGACCTGCCACCACCAGAATAAAGCTTGGTGTAAGACTTTTTAACCCCCACCCCCTCCCCAGTGTTCTGTTGTCATTTTTCAGTCTCACTGAATCCAGGGTGAACTTGCTGGGGGCCGAAACCCTCAGGTGAGACAATGGGAGTGTATAGTTTTATTATATGGAATTTGCTCATGCAGCTATGGAGGGAAAGAAGTTGCAAGACCTGTGGTTGGCAAGCTGGAGACTCAGGAAGGCCAGTGGTGCAATTCCAGTCTAAGGGCAGGAGGAGATGACTCTTTACATTCAAGCAGTCAGGCAGGAGAAATTCCCTTTTACTCAGCTTTTTTATTCTATTGAGATCTTCACAGATTGGATGAGGCCCACCTATTTTAGGATAATCTGCTTTACTCAGTGTGAATAAAATGAAAGTTCCTGTGGCCAGGATTCTCACCTGACCTTGGTTGGCTAGCTCATTACACACATGTGGGCAATATGTTGCTATTGACTCTATATAAAAAGCTCCACCCAGTGGTGTGGGGGTGACACAGTGGCACAGCTGCAAGGCTGCAGAAGAGTAGAGCAGAGGATTTTTGTGATTGACCTGCTATCGTAGAAATAAAGTTGGGTATAACCCTTTCACCCCAAGAACGTTTGACTGTCATTTTCTTTGGTCACTTTGAATCCATAGTGAGAATCCATAGTGAACTTGCCTGGGGCTGAAACCCATTGGCAAGACACTCAGTTAATATATTCAAATGCTAATCTCATCCAGAAACACCCTCACAGACACAGACAGAATGTGTCTGGACAGCCCTTGGCCCAGTCAAATTGATGCTCAAAATTAACACTCACACTTGGCTTGTGGCTCCACCACTCTACTCTTTAAGGCTCACCAATATAATACAGAAAAACCTCCTGATTTCAAGATTCTTAGGTGAATCACACCTGCAAATATCCTTTTTGCAGATAAGGTAGCATTTACAGGTTCCAGAGAGTGAGTCATGAGTATCTTTTAGGGGACCATTATTCAGCCTACTACCCTAATTTATGCAAAGGGCACTTTAATCTACCCAATTTCATAAGCCAGAATTTTGGGACTCACCTTTTTTATGAAATCTCCTCAGTCTCATCTAATCCATTGACAACCCCTATATTTTCTATCTTCTAAATGATCTTGAATCTGGTTACCTCTTTCCATCTCCTCTGCCACCAACCTAACCCAAAACATACCTTTCCTGGGTATTTTAATGGTACACTTATGTCAGCAATAATTCTCTCTTTATCATTATAGTTATTATCTGTCTCCTGTCACTAAATTGTAAACTTCATGAAGGCAGGACTATAAATGTTTTGTACATCCTTGTATTTTAGAACCTAGCACAGTGCTTGGTATAGGGTAGGTGTTCAGTAACTACTTATCACATGTATGAATGGATGGATGATACATTTCTTACCATGGAGGAGCTCCTAGTCTGGAATAAAGGGGCCATTCAATGGCTTTTGACCCTAAATTACTTCATTTGTTCATTTAAACTCTTTGTATTGAGAGCCATCTATATGCCAGACATTATAGTAGGCTCAAAGGAGTCAACAATTTAACAAATTGTGTAAAACTCCTTGTTCTAGTGGAGCTCTGCATTTTAGTGTGGGAAAAGACAGAAAGCATAATAAATACATAATAAATGCATTCTGTGTATATATATGTGCTGATATGTGACATTAGGAAGTGACAAATGATATGAAAAAGAACAATTCAAAGAGGATTTGTATACACTTGTAAATTTAGATAGGGTAGAGCTTTCTGAGAAGTTGACATGTGAGAGAAGGCCTGAGGAGCTGAGGGGGAGTTGTGACTGTATCTGGGGGAGGAGCTTCCCAGGCTGAGGCAACTGCATTTGAGGAGGCAGGAGTGGTCCTGGTCAGCTCAACCAGGAAGAGGAGGCCAGTGTGGCACCGGTGGGTGAGTGAGGCTCAGAGGAGGAGATGAGGCCCAAACAGATGTGGGGCCAGACTATCGGATCTTGTAAAGCAGCAGCAGGACTTTAGCTTTTCCTCTGTGTAAGACAGGGAGTCATATTGGGTTTCCAGCAGACAAGGGACACTATCTGACTTGTATTTTAAAAGTATCCCTCTGGCTGATGTGTGGACTGTAGAGGAGCAAGGGTGGAAACAAGAGCCCTGGGGAAGTTATTTCAGTAATCAAGGCAAGAGCAGATGGTGGCTTGGTCAGGGTGATAGCAACAGAGGTGGTGAAAAATGGGCAGAACTTGGATATATTTTGAAAATAGAGCCAATAGGATTACCTGATAGATTTGATGTGCAGAGAAACAGAAAGATGGAGGGGGAGAGAGAGAGACAGAGAGAGACAGAGACAGAGATAGAGAGACAGAGAGAGAGAGAGAGAGGTGTCAAGAATGATACCAAGGTTTTTGGCCTAAGCAACTGGAAGCTAGACTAAATTCAGAGTTTTGTCTGGAACTCCTTCCCCAAACATTTAATTCACTAAAGTCACTGGAACAACTCAAAAGCCCTGAACTTTCCAGACAGCTGCATGGAGTTGTCATCCATCCTTCCCTGGAGAGTGTCTGATCCTTTCCCGAAACGTATGCCCCACTCCTCTCTCACATCTGCAAGGGGGCCTTGGACAGTTCGCCTCAGCACACTGCTCAGCCCACAGCCCACAGCCCATCTGTGAACAGACTCAACTGCAGCCTGGGCCCTCCTCTAGAGGTTGGTCTGAGCCCTGACACCCTGTTTGGGGTGCCCTGCTGACCCTTAGCTTCGTGTTCACACCCAGGGCTTTAGGAGGTTGGCCTGATTATTATTTTACTCACAAAAGTTTCTCCTTGTTCTAGTCCAGAACACTTGAGGTCATTCAGTAGTTGCTGGGTCTCTTTTGGTCCAGGCAGCCTGGCCAAGTGCCACTTTAGGTAATTATGCCGTTAACTCAAATTATTCCTGTATTTTTAATATTCTCATTGACAGGGGCTTTGGGTTAGTCTATATGACAGGCTCAGCAAAAATACCATTTCGTTAAAAATCTGCAGCTGTTATTTATGAAAGAAGCTCATTTTCCCTGTGTGTGTGCAGTTATGCGGGCATGTGTATCCGGTGCTACAGGGCTTTGGGAAGTGTTTTGGCGGGTCAGTGGCAAGAACAGTTGTCATAGTTGGCTATGACAGCCCCCGTTTGGACCCAGTGCCTCTGCCACAACCATAAGCCTTTCAACAAGTAACATGAAGGGGTCAAGCATCTCATGTTTCTTTCTCGATTGAGCCTCAGAAGTGCCTCTGTTTCTCCCAATTTTCAGTTGCTGGGTGGACCCTGTCTGTGTCTGGGAGCCCACACAGGTTCGCGTGCTTGAAGTCTCTGGGGAGAGTGAATTTAAACGGACGGCTATCTGCTGAGGAGAGGTCAGCGTTTGTTTAAGCCACCAGCTTCCCTCGGGGCCGCAGCCTCGTACAAGCTCTCGCACGTTCCACAGACGACGCAGGCGCTCGGTATTCCAGGCGCTCTCGCGCAGCCCGACCGGCGCGGCCGCCCCACCCAGCCCCCACCCGGAGGCGCGACTGCCGAGGTGCATTCTGGGTACGAGGGTCGGAAGCACGGCAGGCGGACGGCTGGTCAGGTGGGCAGACGGGGCGGCGGGAAGGGCCGCGGGCCCCGCTGGGGAGCTGAAGACGGACGGAACCCAGGATGAGTTCCTCAGCTTTCCGACGCAGGCGCCCAAACTAAAAACTGCGTATCAGGGGAACAGAGCCTTCCCAGGTCGGCTCCCAAAGCCGCTCGACCACGCAGCCTTGCCCTCGCCGGATGAGCCCCGTAATTTGCACCACCTGTGAATTATTCTAGTAGAGGAGTCGGAGAAGTTTGGGACAGGAGCTCAATGCAAGGGACTCCACGTTATCCTCTAGAAACACCCCATGACCTGGAACACAACTGAGCCAACTTGGGCAAAACTGATAGGGGTGCAAATTCAACACTGCTTATTATATCTGAGTGAACTTATTTTTTGTTACCATGCAATCAAAGTGCAAGATGGTGTTTTTCTCAGTTTTCTGAAAGGAGTTGCAGCAAAGCCCTTATGAAGCCTTTACTCCTCCATGTATTTAGAGTTGGCAGGATCAGAGGGAGGTAGGTGTGATTTTACTGAGGAGAGAACGAGCTCTGGTGTCAACGTTTCCAGCAAATGCCACGCAAGGGGAAGAGGTGGCAGCCAAGTCTGCAGGAGGGCTGTCTCTGGAGTTGTGAGTGGGAAGAAGCACCTCTGATTTCTTGTCCAGCAGAACCACAGTGTTCTCCTGTGTGCTTCTGAGGTCTAAGTGGTATAAACTCTTGAGTCTGGGGAAGCTGCATGTGAAGAGTTGTTTATTTAGTATTTACTATGGCCCCGGACACCATTTTAAGGGCTCTGCATGTATTTATTTAGATTTACAAGTTACTGAATATTGTCAGGAACAAAAACCAGGTAGCACAAGAGTGTACATTGTATTCTTTTTTTCTCTAAAAAAAAGTAATTATATTTTATATACATTTGCAAGGAAAGGGAAACTTCTGGAAGTGTACCCCCAAAACTGGTCCAGTGTTTGTCTTTGAGGAGACTGAGAGACTTCCTCAACTGAGGAATATGGTGTCAGAAGGAAAATTTCATTCAGTATATTTTGTTCTTTTTGAATTATTTTTAACCATGTGGGATGTATTCCTGTTTCAATAAAAAATACTACATTTACCTTTAAGGAGAATGGAATGAAAACTTCATAGTCCAAAGCCAACTTTGTGGATCAGATGCTGTGGGCTGAATCTTGGAGGAGGACAAGTCTAAGGTAATACAAGGGATGGAGAGGCAGGGGCAGGGTGAGAGAACTATTTTGACACAAAGGAGCTTGCTATGCTGTTGACCAAGCAATAGCTCTCATCTCCAGTTGAGAGGAAACTAAAAATAGCAGTTAAAGTTCACTTGACATGAGCCAGTGTCAAGCTAAAATGAGAAATGTGAAATTGTACCCACAGCATATGTATCATCCTCATTCCAAGACAAGCAGGCCTCACTTTCTTATACTACTAGACTCAACTCCAGGTGGAGAAAACCTGTGATGTGATTATTATTATGATTACAGGCAGTCTTGAGATAGGCCCAGTCATCTGGTCCTTAAATATACAGATGGAAGTCACTGTGCCAGCATTGTGAGGGGTCTGAGACAAATGAGACCCAAAGCCTGCCACCCCAAGGAACCCACCATCTTACTGAGATAGCGCATGCAACATGAATCCTGATGGAGGCTCAGCTGTGCTAAGTCCTGCCAGGGGAATGCATATGGGGTTATGGGATCTCAGAAAAGAGAAAGATTACATTAGTCAGGACACATTTGGGACATTAAAAAAAAGACTCTGCTTGCCATTTCAGATTTCGGTAGAGGGAAGGGAGGATATTTCATGCAGGAGAGGGGTTTGAGAGATTGAGCTTTGTTTAGGGAACACACTGTAAATTCGGTTGAAATGCCCAGTGTTAGAAAGGGAGTGGAGAGTGACCAGGCTGAAAGGGTCGGGAAGGGTCAGCTGGTGAGGGCTTTGAGTTACATTTTGTGTAAGCAATATGGAGCTATTTAATTGTTTTGAGCACAGGAGTGCCAGGACTAGAGTCCTTCAGGAAGATAAATCTGGCAGCAGCGTGGAGGTAAAGAGATGAAGGACCTGGGCCTGGAGATGGGTTTGCAGGTGCTGGGCTGAATTGCCCAGCTGAGAGCTGGTGAGACTCAAGGAGGAAGAAAGAAGAGGTGAAGACATTCATGATAGATTTTGCAGAGGTCCCAGAAGAGAACTGGGGACTGATTTGGTGTCAGAATAGAGGGAGCAATTGGTGAAGTTTTCAGGCTGGTTGGCTAAGGGAAAGAGATGGAATAAGTGGATTTGGTGGCAACAGTGCTGAGGAAGAAGATGAGTCAGCACAGGGCATTTGGGGTTTCTTGCAACCAATTCGCAGAAGTTTGAGAATGCAGTTGAGGAGAGAAGCTGGGGATATTTTTGGGAATTGAGCTCTGTAGTGGGAATAGTTGAAGCCCCAATATTAGGTGATCTTTGCAATTAGATGTTTTTGAAAGAGAAAAAAGAAAATAATCAAGCAAGATAAGTCTAAGGGGAGACATCCTAAGAGGAGACATGACAGACAGTGAAGAGACATAGAGTCACAGAATCTTCTTTATGGAAGTTTAACACAGGAGTTTGTGCTAAAATGTGCCCATCTCCCAACACTGAAGAAAGTGAGATGAGAAAGACCACTGTTTTTGGCAGCTGTATTGTGACCAATAACTTTTAAGAGAACTGATTTTGAAGAGTGTTGGGTTTGCACAGTTTGCAAATTGTAGGGCCATAGGCTGAATCCAACCAGAAGAGGTATATTATTTGGTCCTCAATAGTTAAAAAATTAATTGCTAATATTTAAAAATGGTTAGATTTCACATAAAAATCCCAAATCCCAAACATAAGCTACCTAGGGCCTCCATTCCTCCTGGGCTGGATGCTGGCTGGAACCCCTGTTTGGGGGTGTGGTGGGAGGGCATTTGGGAGGTGGGCGGTAGGGGTTTGCCCCCTCCAGTTTGCCCCATTTGCCTCAGTTGTACCCAATCTCCTTCTCACATTTCTGCTGCATGTCTGTGCCTTTGGTCAAGGAAAATGGAAGTGGTGAGGAAATATAGGTCATTTACTCTATCAAGTAGACTATTCCTTCAAAAGTTTGGAGAATGACATGCAGAAGAGAAAGACAGTCAATCAGGGTGCCGAAGAGGAGACAATGGGTGTGTCAAGGTAAGGAGACTCAGGCTCCATGAGGTGTTACCCAAAAGGAAGGATTTAACTGAAGAACAGGAAACTGAAGAGGGAAGGGAGGAAATGATGGATAAAACCAAAATTGTTTGTGGGAGCTGAGGAAGAAACAGGGACGGAAAGGTACCTCTGCTTCTGAAACAGGAGAAGTGACAGAAATGGCAAGAGGGGGCAACTTTGTGATGGAGAAGAGGGAACGGCACGAGAAGAGCTGCGTTAATTTTACGTGTGTCTGTGCTAATGGGGCTGAGGCCAGGGCGGGGCCAGCACAGGTAGGTAGGATTCTGGGAACAAGGCAGTAATTTAGCAGCCTTCAAGTGGATATTTTTAAACTATTTGCCGAATAGTCATTTAGTGTGAGGAGAAGCTGATTTTCTCTTTAAAAAATTGTGTACATGGGTTGATATTTAAAAATTAAGGTTTATTACATATCTGGAATATAGCATAATATTTAGACTTAGTTGAAATTGTCTTTCACAAACTTTCTGATTATAGGAAAAATTACATGAACAGTAGTAATTTGTTTAAATTACATTTAAAAATATATTTTTTTACTTCCATGATAGCAAAACAGTCCCTATTTTTCTTTAGCATGTTCTCTCTCTCTTTTTGGAAGTTTTTTTTTCCAAACCAGACAATTTCATAGACATCATAGGTGAATGCTTCAAATTGAAACACTAATGTGACCTGTTTGCTCCAACTAATAATAATTAATAATAATAATAATAATAATAACTAATAATACTCCCACTTCCTCCTATAGTTCTGTGTTTTGTTGACCCCTCGGTGACTACCATGGCTGTTGTGTCAGTTCATCTCAAGAGCTGACACTCAGTCTGTGAGAAAACCATTGAACTCAATGGTGCGCACCACAGGGAAGGGCGATACCTTGTGGGATACTTTTAAATATGCACATTGGTGGGAGACAGGAGTGGGCTGACATCTGAGGTCACTGGCAGTGTACTGCAGGTTTATTCCCATGTTGGTTTAGTGTACTGTCCTGATAAATTGGTACCTGTAGTAGGTGCTGGAATGTCCCACTCCTTCATGTGGATTTGGGTGGGGTTTCAGCTGTAATGTGGAATCACTTTGCTGTTGGTATTAGAGCAGACGTGAAAGTAAGTCCGTTCAAGGCAAACAGAAGGACCACTAAGCCTCTGAGAGGGACTTGCAGGTTTGTAGCAGAGAGGCACAGGGAGAGACCAAAACAATTTTCTCAAGAGGCCAGCAGGGTGAGCAGTGAAATGATGGGTCCTGCCCGTTCGTGCTCGGCCAGAATCCAGTGTGGTCTGCTGGTGGCTTGGAGAGCAAGGGACAGGTGAGGATGTATAGGAAGCCGAAATCAGGTATCAGACTTCTAGTCTTTTGGTGAAATATTCATTTTAGTGAAATATTTTTAATGTTGCTTTTTAAAAATACAGCCCTATAAAATGATAATTTTAAAAATGCTTCTCTGTGGTATGTGAAGTGCTTGGAGCACTGTCACTAAAGCTTGATGTAACTAAAAATACTCCTGTTTCCAAACTGTTGTTGGTCTGATATGAACATCCAAATTGTAGCCATTTGTGGCAGTCCTCGAACGAATAGATTTCTCATGTGAATGAACATGACATATTATTTTAACTTTCATTGTAACTTTTCCATCAATCATAACTGAGTAGCATTGGTCATTCACACCTGCTGAGGACTGGCAACCTGCATGGATATAGTTAGAACTTGTTAAAAGTTATTTGGTCAGCTTCCCAGAGGGATTAACATTAGCAACATTATGATCATGGCTGTCCCTCAACCTCTCTAAGTCTTAGTTCCCTTATTTTACAAGGTGCCAGGGTAGGGGGCGTGGGGCGGGCTAGATGGGTCTCTGAAACACTTTCCTCTTTTGAATGTGAGAGAACATGACAATAAACTAGAATGGTGTTTAGGACTGAGTTTGGAGATGCTGAAAGATAAGCTGAGGCATAGGAAAATGCTGGAGTTTACCTGAGCAAATGTGGGTTCTAGTTGGGCAGAGATAAACCAGAGGGAGTTAGGAGCTCTGGGGAAAGATTTGTAGAGACATTTCAGGAGCAAGCACCTAAACGATCCCATGGGCCACTGCTGAGGTGGTTGTTTCCCTGGGAAGAGCCTAGGGGCTCTTTGTGTTTGGCTTAACCTTGAGGCATTTACAGGCTTAGGCTTGGATTTGCTTATGAGGCCACTAAGACATTAAAACCACTGCAGTCTAATGGTCTCCTTGCTTAATTAATTCAACAAATATGCCGAGAATAGGAAGGTAGCAGCCCAGATCTGTTAGGTTATAGTTGATGTTTGTTTGGTTTGTGTGAGCAGAGCTCAGCCATTTGTAGCGCCATGTCAAAAATGTTCTAAGAAGATGTATTTAAAGTTCCTTCTATTGGAATACACAATTTGAGGCTAGGTATAGTACAGCTGCTGAGAGAACACAGGGAGGTCCTGTATAATAGTGTGTATGGTATATTCTTATTTTGTAGGACTTAGGACATGATATCACTACTTGAAGTGATTCTGGAGCTTGTTTTTGTTTCCTTGTTTTCCAACATGTTGTGAGAGCCTCCACTGTCCAGGACCTGGTATCAGGACCCGTGAATGGGATATGTCTTTTCTGAAATGACCCCAACTCCTCAGTCCCTGCAGGAATGGAAACTGCTGTGGGAAAATTCTTAAGGAAAATGTGTGTATAATGCAGTTGCGGTTTTACATCTTTTCTCTGCCTGTTGGTGCGGTCAGCCTGTAGGCACTGTCCTGCTGGTGACCACTGTTGTACTGTGGATCATCATGGGGGAATCCTGGGGAAAGAACACATCACTGATTCTACCTGCATACCCCCTTCCGAGGGTTGGGATCCCACTAGCCATGTCAGCACATTACTCTTCTCCACAGAAAGGCTCTCATCCAGTGCTATACTACATTTTTTGACTGGATGTGTACAGTCTTAGTTTGGCAGTCCAGCTTTTTTCTGTCTGCTTCCATCTGGCCAATTCTGCAT